GTTGGAAGACACATACCAGGAACACGGTTTGGCATGCCCCCTGGATGGGTGAGCATGACAGGCCTGAGGGTGAGGCAACGCCAGCTTCACTACCAGCTGCAGAAGTAGAGGACCTCATAAACTGGTCCCGGGAAGACCCCCAGGCGGTGATGGGCCCGAGGTCTCTCCACCGGCCCTCCAGGGATGATGGGCAGCCGGCCCAGATCCCCAACTACAGCCGGGGATACTGGGAGTAGGGAGTAGGGACAGTCGGTGCAACTCCCCAGCGGCAGGGTATCATGCAGGGAGAGGAGACAACCGGTCTCTCTCCCCAGCAGCTGCCGGAGTTACAGGGGGGAGTATCAGGATTACTAATTGATCCAGCACGTAGGATAGTGTCACACAGAGGACTAATAGGTAACATATTACTGGGCTTTAGAATGGCCGGACTTAACACACCATAGTCAGGATACTTGCCGAGGTCAGGGGACACATAATGAGACACAACAAGTCAGGGATACCAGAAGTCAAACAAAGCCAAAGTCAAGAACTAGAAATATAAAGCTCAGGAACACACTCTCGGACAACCACTAGGGAAACCACGACAGGGCAATGAGGAAAAGTAAATTTGAGCTTAAAAAAGTGCTTTACATTTCTGATTGGCCGAAACGACCCTCAAACGTGCGTGTGTCTCCCGCGTGACGTCACGCGCACGTCAATATCATCATTAATGTGGGTGGACATGGGGGAATAATTTGGCGTGGTTCTGCAGCGGCCGGCGTCCAGTAACATATTGCAAGAGTCATTTGTACAGACGCACGGCCGCTGGGCGCAAATACCGCAAGGAAGAGGAATATGTTACAGGGAGAAGAAGATGAATAGTCCCTCTATCCTGCAGCAGAAAGTGTCCAGGGGAGTGGAGGCAACCCGGCCTCACCCTCCAACAGCAGTCGGAAGATACAGGGAGAGGGGACAACTGGTCCCTCTCCCCAACTACAGAGGGACAGTACCCCTGACCCCAATGGTGCAGATGGGACCGCGGTCTCTGCACCGGACCTACAGGGATGCTGGACAGCCATCTCAGATTCCCAACAGCCACAGCAGGAATACCAGAGGGAGGAAGTGGGTGATCCCTCCCTGTAGCAGCAAATTCCCAACCGGGTCCTAGCGGTAGTGGCTGAGACAGCAGTATCCACTGACCCCACCCCAGCAGAAGCGCTGGAACCAGGGCGGAGTGCAGTTGGCTTCTTCCCTTCCCCTGTCCTCAGTCCAGGACCGGACGACCCTCTAACCTACCCAGCTGTAACGCTTGCTACGGGGCAGAACGCTGCTGGCCTCTGCCCACCGGGTAACCCCAACTCCAAGCAGGAGAGCAACAGAGAGGCTGGGAGTACCAGATGCCCACTTAACAGCTGGGGACATGCAGACATACAGGACAGAGTCAGGCTACAGAAGTCACTAGGTCCAGTATTTGTTATGGGTGGGCTACTCGACTAACTCAGGTACCGACCAACAGGAGGTCAGGTAGCTGGTTAGTCTTCCCTTGGGGAAAAGATGTGTGGCAGAAATGCCTCTGCCACATGTTCTTGGAGGTGCCTGCTTGACAGCCTCCTGCCAAAAGACTATGGGCCCTTTAAAAACCATGTTGTGGCAGGACAGACATCGCCACGTGTTCTTGGAGGGGGCTGCTTGCCCGCCTTCTACCTTCTGACTATGGCCCTGGGATATATGGCATTTGAAAACACTATTTGTGCCCTGTGACAAAACTGGAGATTGTGCACAAATATGACTATTGTCCATATTTTTTATGATTCCCTTCATTGTTGCACTGTTCCCCATGTGTTTCATCTGTTGGTTCGGCTGGATAGACTACCAGACAAACTGTGGAGTTACTGGGTGGCCACCATTTCATGTATCAGAGGCACATGGTGAGAACAATGGATGAAGCACATGGTGAGAACAATGGATGGCGGCCATTTTAACTCACAGACACTGTTTTGACTTTTCTACACGGTGCCATCTCGCCGGTATTTGGTGCACAAAGACATCATTCAGTAGTTTTAAACTACAGAACAGTGGACACATTTAACAGTGTGACAGATCCATCTGTATAGACTGGGATTGCTGGTTCGTATACCGAACAAACTGTCGAACAGACTGACCACCCAGGACCGTTGTGTGCCGCTAGTTAACCCCCTTGACCTTCCTAACACCTACTCTAACCGCAATCCCTGAAGATTCTAAGTGGTCGGCTGGGTGGCCACTATTCGTATGGACGAAGATGAGGTTGCAGCCATCTTGTTTTGGCGAATGCTTCCAGCGGGGTTTGGTCATCGAGTGCATGGAACTATTATCGGACACTCGACGGCCCGAACACCGCTGAGACTTCTATCCCCACTTATGTTTGTTCCCATTCATCCGAAGAAAGCGGCATTTAGTGAAACAAACTCCTGAACGAGGGATACTGTAACGGATTCCCTATACTCTAGCTGTGCATATCCGTGCAGAATCTCCCGAAATCCAAGGGTAGCAGAAGGTGTAGTGAATTATAGCTCTCAATCCCCCAAACATGAGCCAAGACTTCATGAAGGGGTAAAACGATCTGTTTAATGGTGGCCACAATTCGGCCTTTTATGCAGGTCCTCCAGCAAAGGATACTCCCACATGGGCCTTGTGGAGGACTGGCACACAATTTACAGCAACCAATCAAAGTATAATACATAGTTACATAGCTGAGAAGAGACTTGCGTCCATCAAGTTCAGCCTTCCTCACATATGTTGTTGCTGTTGATCCAAAAGAAGGCAAAAAACCTAGTTTGAAGCGCTTCCAATTTTGCCACAAACTAGGAAAAAAATTCCTTCTTGACCCCAAAATAGCAGTCAGATGTCTCCTTGGATCAAGCAGCTATTACCCCACTAATTAGAAATGATATCCCTGTATGTTATGTTTTTGTAAGTATTTATCCAATTGCAGTTTAAACATCTGTAGTGACTCTGATAAAAAACACCTCTTCAGAATTCCATATCCTTATTGCACTTACTGTAAAAAAAAACCTTTTCTTTGCCTTAGATGAAATCTCCTTTCTTCCAGCCTAAATGTGTGACCTCGTGTCCTATGTATAGCCCTGTTTATGAATAGATTTCCAGATAAAGGTTTGTACTGGCCCTAAATATATTTGTATAATGTTATCATATCCCCTCTCAGGCGCCGTTTTTCCAAACTAAACAGATTTAATTTTTTTAACCTTTCTTCATAACTAAAATGCTCCATTCCTTTTATCAATTTTGTAGCTCATCTCTGGACTTTTTCTAGTGCCATATCCTTCTTTAGAACAGGCTCACAAAATTGCACAGCATATTCAAGGTGTGGTCTTACCAGCGATTTATAAAGAGGCAAAATTATATTTTCATGACGAGAATTTATGCCCCTATTTATACATGACAAAATCTTACTGGCCTTAGCAACTGCAGATTGACATTGCATATTGCTGCCTAATTTGTTGTCTATAACAATTCCCAAATCCTTCTCGTGGTGTGGTTATCCCTAATTCACTACCATTTAGTGTGTAAGTTGCTTGTGCATTCTTAACCCCAAGTGCATAACTTTGCATTTCTCGTGTTAAATTTCATCTGCCATTTTAGTGCCCAGTCCCCCAATCTATCCAAATCTCTCTGCAGCAAAGCAATATCCTGCTCACATTTTATTACTTTACAAAGTTTTGTGTCATCTGCAAACACTGATACATGGCTTTCAATGCCTATTTCAAGATCATTTATAAATATGTTAAATAGAAGTGGTCCCAAAACAGAACCCTGAGGGACACCACTTACCACTTTTGTCCAGCCTGAAAATTTACCATTAATGACAACTTGTTTTACTCTATACTTAAGCCAATGTTCTACCCAAGAACAAGAATTTTCATCTAGACCAATTTCTTTTAGTTTGAAGACTAACCTGAACACTGCAACACCCTTATCTATACTTCTACTTACTTCTTCGTAGAATGCAATTAGGTTAGTTTGACATGACCTATGTTTCATAAAACCATGCTGATTATTGCTAATATAGATCTTCCCAATTAATTCCTGAATAGTATCCCTTAATAGCCCTTCAAATATTTCCCCAGTTACAGAAGTTAAGCTCACAGGTCTATAACTTACAGGCAAGGATTTTTAACCTTTTAAATATAGGAACAACATCTGCCTTTCTCCAATCCTCCGGTACAACACCTGAAACAAAAGAATCTTGAAAAATTAAATACAGAGGTTCACTTATTCCCCCACTTAGCTCCATAAGTACTCGTGAGTGAATACCGTCAGGCCCCGGAGCTTTATTTACATTAATTTTCTTTAATAGCTGTAGCACCTTGTCTCGAGTTATCCAATCATAAGTTATTTGCAGCAATCATTTGCATATCTCTTGCCATAGGATCCTCATTAATATATACTGAAGAAAAATAGTTATTTAAAATGTCTGCTTTTTCCTGGTCTTCATTAGCTAATAAACCCAACTCTGTTTCAAGTGTACCTACCCCTTTCATTTTTTGTTTTTTTAGAATTGATGTACTTGAAAAAAAATTTGGGGGTTGGTTTTGCATTCTTTGGCTATCAATTTCTCATTTTCTAGTTTAGCCACTTTAATTGCCTTTTTGCAAGCGCTATTGGCTTCCTTATATCTTATATAGGATGAATCTGATTTGTCCGATTTAAATGCTTTAAATGCCCTTTTCTTATTTTTAATCTCTTGTTTTACTTCTCTACTAAGCCACATTGGTTTTAATTTGTTTCTTTTATATTTATTACCCAATGGTACATACTGGGAAATGTACCTTTCTAATATATGTTTGAATAGTTTCCATTTATCCTCAGTGTTTTTATCACTAAGGAGTTTATGCCAGTCGATATGTTGTAGAGCTGCCCTAATCTTATTGAAATTGGCTTTTTTTAAATTATATGTTTTAGTATACCCCACGTGCTTTCGCTTTTTTGAGTTTAGTTCAAAAATTACCATATTGTGATCACTATTTCCAAAATGCTCCCCTACTTGAATGTTGGTTAAAAGATCAACATTGTTTGTTATAACGAGATCCAGACAAGCGTCCATTCTAGTTGGTGCTTGTACCAGTTGTGACATAAAGGTGTCATTTAACACATTCAAAAACCTGATTCCCCTTGCTGAAGTACTAGTCCCTCTGTCCCAATTTATGTCCGGGTAATTAAAATCTCCAATAATTAACGTGTTACCTCGATTTGCAGCTTTTCCAGTTTGCTCTAACAGCTGTTCTTCCTCAATAATATTTACATTAGGTGGTTTATAACATATGCCAACCAATAATTGATTTCCCTTTGTTTGCCCCAAGCAGATATCTACCCATAGAGCCTCCACCATTTCCTCATCACACTCCACATGCCTAAGATTTGACTTTAACTCATGGTTGACATATAAACATACCCCACCACCCTTCTTGTTTTTTTCTATCCTTCCTAAATAATGTGTAAGTTAACTGACCAGTCATGTGTCTCATCCCACCATGTTTCAGTTATGTCTATTATGTCATATTGTTTAGTGTATGATATTGCCTCTAGTTCCCCCATTTTGTTATATAGGCTCCTTGCATTAGTAAGCATACATTTAATATTATCATGAGTCTTTTGTACTTTTTGTGAATTATCAATATTACATACCTCCTCTGTTCTGAGTTTTCCCCTCCCCCCATCTCCACCCCCTTTGTTCTGAGCTAAAGCCCATCTCCTTTCTATCCTATCTCCATTTTCTAGATTGATTTGACCGTCCCCCCACCACTAGTTTAAAATCTCCTCCAACCTTCTAGCCATCCTATCCCCCAGCATAGCAGACCCTCTTCCGTTTAGATGTAATCCATCATGACTATACAGGTTGTATCCAAGCGCAAAATCGGCCCAGTGTTCTAAAAACCCAAAACCCTCTTTCCTGCGCCAAGACTTTAGCCACGCATTGACCTCTCTAATCTCCCGCTGCCTTTCTGCTGTAGTACGCGGCACAGGTAATATTTCTGAAAAAATTACCTTGCAGGTCCTTTTCTTTAGCTTACTTCCTAGTTCCCTGAACTCATTCTTTAGAACCTTCCATTTTCCTCTGACTTTGTCATTGGTACCAATATGGACCATGACAGCTGGGTCATCCTCAGCCCCTCCCAATAATCCATCCACTATGTCGGCAACATGCCGGACCCGGGAGACAGCAAACTGTCTGGTTGAGTCGATCAGAGTGGCAGATTACCCTATCTACTCTCTTAATAATAGAGTCCCCTACCACCACAACCTGTCTAGCCTTCCTTCCTTACCCTCTCAACCCCACCCGTACTAGAGGGGCTGTTTCCACGGCTGTTAGCAGGGACAGATTCCTGCAGTACAGCTACTCCTGAGCTGATGCTCCCAACATCTTCACTCAAACAGGCAAATCTGTTAGGCTGCATGAGATCAGGACTAGCTAAACCTTTTCTCTTCCCTCCGCCTCTGCTTCCTCGCCCCACTGTCACCCAGCTACGTGCCTGTTCCCCATCTGTCTTATCTCCTCCCACTCCACTACCTGCAACCACTAAACTCTGCTCAGTGAGCAGCAGACTCCTATGAAGATTATCAATCTCCCTCAGTGTTGCAATTTGCCTCTCCAGATCTCTAATCTGAGCTTCCAGAAAAGCCACTCGCAGGATGTGCATGGATGTAAACTCGCAATCTTGCTAGGACTCATCCCCAGTTACAAAAAACACAAGTGAGCAAAAACAATATTTACCCTCTTGGTTTAACCCCTTAAGACCGGAGGGCGTACTATTATGTCCTATTTTAGGCGTCTCTAAACGCCGCCGGGCGTAATAGTACGCCCTCCGGTCTTTCATTACTGGTCCCACGCCGGCGATCGCGTTTGGGGGGACTCCCAGGGAGCCCCCTCGTGGCATATCTTCCTCCTGGCAGCCCCCCCCCGGCCATGTGAGAGTGAGGTCCTTGCGAGTGAAATATATTTTATGAACTACTAAATATTTAATGTGTTGATATAAATATTATAAGTTTTACTCAGATTACTTCCAGAACACGGAAATTGAGAAGCCATACCTAGGCCTACAGTATTACAGACTTTCATTGGATAGGAATGGAGACCACATCTGGTTCACTTTAAGAGTGATAGATGAAGGGCCTGTTTATAGTAACCTTTGACCTAAGCTTTGCTAGCCAGTCTCCCTCTGTATTACCAAGGCTCATATTTCTAAAGGCATCTATTCATTTACCGTGCATATAGAACTTCTCTGTGTAGCGTACCGCCGAATATAACGTAAGGATTGAGCGAAATGTACACGTTGTGAACGAAACAAAACGTAAACAAAACCTGGCATTTGCGCTACATGTCTGTCCAACCGTAATTCACCTCTTTCATAGTAAATACACCCACCCTTATTATATATCATTTTATTCAGGGGAAACAGGGCTTTCATTTAATATCAAATATTTAGATGTGAAACATAATTTAATATGAAATAAATGGGAGAAAATACGATTTGTTTTTATTTTTTTAGTTCTACATGACATTTTAACGGTCAATGTCATAATACTGTTTGCTTTTACTGCAATAAAATACACATATTTGTATTCAGTAAAGTCTCACGTGTAAAACAGTACCCCCTATGTACAGGTTTTATGGCGTTTTGGGAAGTTACAGGGTCAAATACAGCACGTTACATTTGAAATTGAAATTCGCCAGATTGGTTACGTTGCCTTTGGGACTGTATAGTAGCCCAGGAATGAAATTTACCCCCATAATGGCATACCATTTGCAATAGTAGACAACCCAAGGTATTGCAAATGAGGTATGTCCAGTCTTTTTTAGTAGCCATTTGGTCATAAACACTGGCCAAAGTTAGCGTTAGTATTTGTTTGTGTGTGAAAAATGCAAAGAACGCCAATTTTCGCCAGTGTTTGTGACTAAGTGGCTACTAAAAAAGACTGGACATACCCCGTTTGCAATACCTTGGGTTGTCTACTATTGCAAATGGTATGCCATCATAGGGGTAATTTTCATTCTTGGGCTACCATAGGGTCTCAAAGGCAACATACCCAATCTGGCGAATTTTAATGTGAAAAAGATGAAACACAAGCCTTATATTTGACGCTGTAACTTTTGAAAACACCATAAAACCTATACATGAGGGGTACTGTTGTACTCGGGAGACTTCGTTGAACACAAATATTTGTGTTTCAAAACAGTAAAAAGTATCACAGCAATAATATCGTCCGTGTAAGTACTGTTTGTGCGTGAAAAATGCAAAAAACACCCCTTTTACTGGCAATATCACCGTTGTAATACATTTTACTATTTTGAAACACTAATATTTGTGTTCAGCGAAGTCCCCCGAGTAGAACAGCACCCCCGTGTACAGGTTTTATGGTGTCTCGGAAAGTTATAGGGATAAATATAGTGCTAGCAAATTAAATTCCCTTTACTTTCGGCATGGGTTGTCAGGCAGGTCCCACTAATTGTAATTAATTAAGATACCCAATTATGTAAAAATATTACATAAATATATATGTAGAATTAATATATGTATATATTTTATTTATATATAGGTATATATATAGTGATATATATGTATATATATATTATTTCGTTCTACGTGTATTTTGATATATATATATATATATATTAATATCACAATACAGTTAGAACGAAATAACACACATCTATATATTTTTTAATTATTTGTTTTTAATAATTTTTTTAATTTTATTTTTTAACATACTTACATATTTTTTTTTTATATTATATATAAATATATATATAACAATAATTATATATATATTTAATTAGTATCAGTCTATGTGTAATTTGATATTAATATATATATATATATTAATAGTAAAAGACACCGATACAGTGTCTTTTAAATGAAAACGCCATTTAGTCGACCTTCCCCTTTTGCAATACAACTAATCTCCGTTCGAATAAACTGTAGTGCACGAACCAAACGCAGGGGAAGCGGCAATCTCCCGACCAGGCTCCGTGAACGGCTCCAAACTCCCGAACGGCAATCCACGAACTGCTGCTAGCCGCCGAACAATAACATCCACCAAGCGGCTTTCGGTTCCATCCAGCAGTCTCTAAACGCAAAGAAGAAATCCCCTCAATAACGAGACAGAAGCTCCGCATTGAGGGTCAAACAGGATCTGGCTTTACTGTGGGCTACCTGTCCGTATTTATGCAGGTCTCCCACTTGGTGGACACTCCCCTAGGGGACCAAATGGGAGACTTAAATGACAGACAGATATGGGAACATTCCAGACACACAGTCACAGATTTTACCCACAACGCAATATGGTTTCCTCCCCTCTGCCCTGGACATAATTAAGGAATAACTCAATTATCTCCAGGACAAAGCCAGTCGCCATTTTAAATATAAAATCAGAAAAGACATAAAAATACATAACTTCACAAAAACCGAACATTTCCCATTCGCATCACATATCCCCAGATAGCCTGGATCTGAGTGCATATTATTAGCGAATAGCGCTCAGATCCCACACACATAGTTCAATCGCCATGGAGTCAAAGTTCTTACAGTCTTTCGGTATACGAATGACTCCATGGGAAGGCTATTTGGGTTAAGTCCTTTCGTATGCTTCAAAACTCCCAAACGGCTGGTATTCGCATGCTTTCGTGGAGGCAGCCAGGCGTTCCGTTATTTCAGCGGTGTTCGGCAGAAAAAGTGTCCGTTTTTAGTTCCATGAAAATAGAGCCGAACACCGCTGGGCTTTCGCGTGTTTTAAAATGACCGCTGCCTCGTGGTCGACATACGAACGACGACCACCCTGAATTCGGTTTAATTGAGAAGTGTCTGCGGTTAACCACAACGTTCTAATTGGGATCAATAGGTTAACCAGCAGCACACTTCTCTTCTGGGTGGCCATCCGTTCGGTAGTTTTGTTCGGGAAAAACAGTAATTCGTATGGCTGGGCGAACGGGGCAAAATAGACGAATCCACCAGCACTAAACAGACAGATGGTTCTGTCACAATATTATTATTTTTTTACACATAAACTTTTATTTATTTTATTTCCAGCCAGCAGAGGGACCACCTATCATTACAGGCAGTCCCCCTGCTGGTAATACAGGAGGCAGCTATCCCGGCCATGTGATTGTGAGGTCCTCGCAAGGACCTCACTCTCACATGGCCGGGGGGGCTGCTGGAGTGAAGATCTGCCGCGGGGGGGC